TCTTGAGTGGAGCTGTGGCTATTGTTACCAAGTGAGTCATATTTCACGCTTTGGAGTATCACCGTACGAGATTGGATTGGATGTCATTTTTGGACATGTCATTTTGATTTTTTGGATTTCCTGGATTTTTGGAGTGAACTTTAACTTTTGAACTTTGGACTGAACTGGTTATTTAAGTTTTTGGTAAAAGGACATTTTGGTTTAAGGAGTAAACGATTTGTTTTATTAATTATTCTTTTTATATTAATACTTTGCTATAATAAATTATTTTTGGTTCGTTAACTTGAACTGGTTTAAGCTATATTCCTACCCTAAGGAGTGGGGGCGTCTCACTTATCTTGTTGGTCTTGGGAGGGGTGGGCTGTGCATGTAAGAAAAGCTTTCACCTGCACGCACACATACACACTCCAGGGGCCATCGTGTGTAAAGGTAGTCCTGGAGCCCATCTCACCTTGGCTGTAGCTCATCATGGCAACACGATAAGCACCAACCTATACAAATTGTTATATAGAGACCAAAAGCATTGGGTGGGGGGACCCAGATCCTGTAACTCACTCAGTCTTCCCTAGGGTAGGGGTTATTATTTCCCCCCACAAGGCGGTGGCATATTCCCCTCCGCCACAAAGAGAACCGATTCAGCAGTGGGCAAAGACTGATGCAAAGATTTCACTCTTTGGACTTTTTCATCTACACATGTAGATGACAGATGATCCCGCTGCAGGGAATCAACCTCGTTTCTAAATGCAACGTCTGTAGATGTGTAAAGTTTGTATCATGCCCTTACCTTGTCAATGCCCATGTGTATCTGCAGAGATTTGGACAAGACATCTGTCTTTTTCTTGGCCTCATTGATGAAGTCATCACACACCCGCCGCAGTTCTACACATTTGGGTCGAATAGAGTCCACAGCATAATGGTTGCTCTGGATCAGTTGGTCACCGTGCTGCGCGTGGAGCTGGGCCTTTTCTAGTGTGGGCTGGAAGAAGAACAATTCAGAATACTTTATGGCAGTTTAAATTGTGCAAAGAAAATCTTTGAGGTGTTCACAGTCTGCTGTATCTACTTAAGTAAATATATGTAGATGGATACTGACACTTTATTTATCAAACCTTTCAAAATACAAATGTGGGATTATAGTTTTCTGGTCATGGGGCCTCTGTAGGAACATATATAACGTAGATGTCATGACAGAGCTTTTATGTAATGGAGCATCACTTAGTGAGGAGGAGATTTCAGTGTAACAGTTACTGAAAGTCCACCCTGATAATGTGGGGAAATTAGGTATATCTTTAAGAGCTATACTCCTCTGTGTTTATATCTTTAGTATTCAGACCATGAAAGGAATTCTTTCAGTGGGATGTTCAAGTCAGTGCAGTCTGGAGTGTTATTGACTGACATAAGACTGGAGGAACACATGGGGACGTCACCATCTGTGATGTCAACATTCATCTTTTCAAATGTACTATAGATCTGGGTTTGTTAGTTGCGCCCTTGGCTGTTATTGGACAAAAACAAGAGTTGCTCACTTTACTTTACTGGCATTCCCAGTCTTATCAGTGCTCTGAATGGAGATGTAATTGATACAGTCTAGTAATGTGTATATGTATATATATCCTTTCATATATCTTTCTAGGCTGAAAGAAGAGCTAGAAAAGATGTGGTAGGTGAAGGCACAAGTAGTCCCTGTGGTAATAGGAACATTGGGGGCTGTGACCCCCAAACTAGGAGAGTGGCTCCGACAGATCCCAGGAACAACACCTGAGATCTCTGTCCAGAAGAGTGCAGTCCTAACAGCTAAGATACTGCTCAGTACCCTCAAGCTCCCAGGCCTCTGGTAAAGGACCCGAGCTTGAAGGAAGGAACATAAGACCGCCCCAAAGTGGGGGGCGAGTGGGGAAATTTTTTTTTTTTTTAATGTATACACATAAGAATGTGGGAGGCCAAGAGGATTAAGGGACTAGATTAGTCTCAGTCTCTTCTAGTCATCATATTTATTATATTTTCCTTCATGTTATATTAAGAGTTTTTTTTATTTTACTTCTATTATTCATCAGTATTTGTTATACTTGCTCAGTATTGTTGTAAATAAGACTGATAAGGGTGATAGAGGCAGAGGTGAGAAAGATGAGCAGGAGATGACCCATAGCAGCCTTAAAGCAGGCAAGAGGGAAAAAACTTTGTTACTGGGACGGCTGCCCAGACTGGCTGGAGATACTGGGACACCTGTCGCACCTCAGAGAGGGAGAGATAGAAACGAGCCTTTGAGCTAAATATTCCCTGTTTTCAAGATGTCTTCCTGTGATGAGTCTTTAATATTAATGTTTAATATTTTTAAGATGACACCCAGGGACAGGTTAATTTGTTTATGTATCACCTTTTAATGGGGTGGACATATTTTTATGACAGAGTCATATGTCGCCTGTTACTGTTTGTCACCTTAATGGAGTTTGTCACCTTAATGATCATGTCTGAGACGAGTGCCAAGAAGATATGGTCATTATTTTTGTTTTTATAGCTTCTGAAGAGGCGACTCAGGCTGATCTCTCTGGGTTTAAATACAATGGTATCTATGGCGATGGAGGTCAAAGAGAGAAAGGTGGGGAAGAGCACATTTAGACCAGGAGGTGCATGTAAAGAGTATAAATAAATAAATAAAAGATGCTGCAGGAGCTCTGTAAACGGTTCTGCTTTGTGAACCAGAAACGGAGATATTGCCATTTGTGACCTTTTGCTACAAATCCAATGCCTTGCTTCAGACTAAAGAGACTTTGAGTGTTTAAGATAAGGGGATCATCTCTGGTGTGTGCCTGACTAATACTGGCCTAAGGTTGAGGTCCACAACAAGAATTTGGTTAGATGGTAGAATGTCCTACAAAGCGCATACTGAACAGCTTGCTCAGATGTTCACAGTTCAAAATGGCTTTGCATATCAAATCAGAACTTGTTTCTCCTTCAACAACAGAAAAACAATACAATACAATCAACTACACTGTTCACACTCGATGATGGAGATATTACATATGGTCACGCCTCATCACTTATTGTACACCACCGGATGCTGTCTACCATAGCGCTATTCAATTTATCACACAAGATAGCTCTCATACTCATCGCTGGGAAAAGAAGGCATCTTCAGTGTCTTCGTCTATAAGACCCTGCTATCCATACTGCTGAGATATTTAACATCAGAGCTGATGGTCATGACAGCAGGTCACAGTAGAAACTGGCTTTAAAAGTCCCTGGTATCGAACTGAACTGGGGGACACTGGCTTCCAGCACCTCACTCCTGGAATGAGCTGCAGCACAACTTGAAGTTAGGGGCACTCGTTCCTCTGAGTTACTTTAAAGTTTGAGTAGCTAACATTGTTGTAGATTGTATTGCTATGTGATAAGCTGTATATATTCCATATATACTAAATCCATTATTTACAAGGCTGACTTAGAAAATGGTTTTTGATTTGGTATTGTATATGTTTGGTTCAATAACGTTGAATGCAGATGAAATGACCTTACATAAAGTTTTGTGTGTGTTGACTGACCTGAGCCTTCTCCTCCAGTGATTTCAATTCCTTTAGCAGGTGTTCAACAGCAGCCACACTTTCCCCAATAACTGATAAGCTGGTGAGACTGTCCATGAAACTGTCTAGAGACACTTTGACCTAGAGAACCAAAGGAGAGACAGAAACAAAGACAAATTACAAGGCTATCTACTTATACCCATAGTAATAATGTTTCTTTTCTTATATTCAGACTAAGTCTAACTCTGTCTCTACTGATTAGCTCAAATATTCTCACTGGAACAAAGCTCCCCTCATTGTAGTTTGACTCAGTGTGACTTCTTTCCACAACAACTAATGAATTAATTATCCAATATTTAGCCAGTTTTGCTTGTTTCACTCCAAACTCTTGAAATTAAATGATGCAGAGAGGAGTAAATTTCATATTCAGTGGAGGATTTGTTGAAAGATATTGCAATAATGCACAACTTTCCAGTCATTTTACAACCTGGTGCGTCAGACAGGATGTGAAGGTTTTCCTTTAACCAAGCTGACTCAGCCAGTCAGTGTTTTGTTAAGTGTGTTTTCAAAGTACACTTTTTACAGCGGCAGTGTTTTGGAGCTGCTGATCCACAGACTGCAGGCCAGAGGCAGACAGAGAGCCAGACAGATATACCTCTCTGAAGTCTTGTTCAAAGTGACGTAGCTGCAGGCACTGCTCCAGTTTCAGATGGTGTTTACACCAGAACTGTGCAAAGGCGTTGTCTGTCTCATCCAGCTGGGCCAAGAGCCTGAAACACACAATGGGAACTCCATTACACACACACACATTGCGAGTTACTTTAGAACCTCATGGCTATGATATCAACTGACAAACACTGCATAAAATATGAGAAGGGTTTTTCCAGCTGTCACCTTTCCACAGTGGTTTGGTTCTCCATCTCGTCTGGGTTGAGTTTGTGATTCTCTGACTTAGCTGCCTGATCCTTGATGCAACCTAACAAGGTGGAGCCCTGCTTCAAAGCTAGCTTCAGTTCATCCTAGTACAGAGACACAGAAGCAATAGAAGCTAAAATAATAACATCTGTAAAACAGCAGACCCACGTGTTGTATGATCATTTTCACACCTCTGATTGCAACATGCAGTCAGTATCTGTTATGAGACTAATGACATCTATTTACTGGGTCTTTGCGTCTGTACATCTGGTATACGCATAGTAGGTAAGCACAGCTGGCAGAGTAGCGATGCAGGATATTCTGGAGGGGATGCTACAACTTTCAAGGCAAGGGTGTCATGACAGACTGAGACTGTCAGACGCATCCATGCACTGCTTGTCAGTGGGCTAATCAGGCTAAGGTTACTTACAGTGCCTTGCGAAAGTATTCGGCCCCCTTGAACTTTGCAACCTTTTGCCACATTTCAGGCTTCAAACATAAAGATATAAAACTGTAATTTTTTGTGAAGAATCAACAACAAGTGGGACACAATCATGAAGTGGAACGAAATTTATTGGATATTTCAAACTTTTTTAACAAATAAAAAACTGAAAAATTGGGCGTGCAAAATTATTCAGCCCCCTTAAGTTAATACTTGGTAGCGCCACCTTTTGCTGCGATTACAGCTGTAAGTCACTTGGGGTATGTCTCTATCAGTTTTGCACATCGAGAGACTGAAATTTTTGCCCATGCCTCCTTGCAAAACAGCTCGAGCTCAGTGAGGTTGGATGGAGAGCATTTGTGAACAGCAGTTTTCAGTTCTTTCCACAGATTCTCGAGTGGATTCAGGTCTGGACTTTGACTTGGCCATTCTAACACCTGGATATGTTTATTTGTGAACCATTCCATTGTAGATTTTGCTTTATGTTTTGGATCATTGTCTTGTTGGAAGACAAATCTCCATCCCAGTCTCAGGTCTTTTGCAGACTCCATCAGGTTTCCTTCCAAAATGGTCCTGTATTTGGCTCCATCCATCTTCCCATCAATTTTAACCATCTTCCCTGTCCCTGCTGAAGAAAAGCAGGCCCAAACCATGATGCTGCCACCACCATGTTTGACAATGGGGATGGTGTGTTCAGGGTGATGAGCTGTGTTGCTTTTACGCCAAACATAACGTTTTGCATTGTTGCCAAAAAGTTCGATTTTGGTTTCATCTGACCAGAGCACCTTCTTCCACATGTTTGGTGCGTCTCCCAGGTGGCTTGTGGCAAACTTTAAACAACACTTTTTATGGATATCTTTAAGAAATGGCTTTCTTCTTGCCACTCTTCCATAAAGGCCAGATTTGTGCAGTATACGACTGATTGTTGTCCTATGGACAGAGTCTCCCACCTCAGCTGTAGATCTCTGCAGTTCATCCAGAGTGATCATGGGCCTCTTGGCTGCATCTCTGATCAGGAGAATCTGTGGAAAGAACTGAAAACTGCTGTTCACAAATGCTCTCCATCCAACCTCACTGAGCTCGAGCTGTTTTGCAAGGAGGCATGGGCAAAAATTTCAGTCTCTCGATGTGCAAAACTGATAGAGACATACCCCAAGCGATTTACAGCTGTAATCGCAGCAAAAGGTGGCGCTACAACGTATTAACTTAAGGGGGTTGAATAATTTTGCACGCCCAATTTTTCAGTTTTTTATTTGTTAAAAAAGTTTGAAATATCCAATAAATTTCGTTCCACTTCATGATTGTGTCCCACTTGTTGTTGATTCTTCACAAAAAATTACAGTTTTATATCTTTATGTTTGAAGCCTGAAATGTGGCAAAAGGTCGCAAAGTTCAAGGGGGCCGAATACTTTCGCAAGGCACTGTATGTTTTACTATATGCAGTATATAGGGATTCAAATGGTGGAGACACAACAGGACGCAATGGTGAACTGAACCTGCTGTGTTCCCCACTGCTACTCAAGGACTGAACCCTGGTGACAACAAGACCGACCACCAGTTGTGCTCATTTTTTGGGGGAGGCGACAGTGGTGCGGTGGGTAGAGCAGTCGTCTCCCAACCAGAAGGTTGAAGGTTTGAATCTCGGTGCCGGCAGTCCACGTGTCGAAGTGTCCTTGGGCAAGACACTGAGTCCCCCTGATGGTTAGAGCCATTGGTTGAGGTGGCGCCGCAGATGGCTGCCATTGGTTCTGTACCGGAAACAAATTCCTTGTGTGTAACATACTTGGCCAATAAAGGTGATTATCCTTATTTTGATTCTGTCTGGAAATGGAACTCCAGCTGTTTCCTCCTTCACTTTAACTATCTACAGTAAAAGTATGTTTGGTGTTGCTGAAATGTTGTCACAGAGGAACATACTGTATAAAAGACATTTTATGTCTGTTCTCATTCAACAGTAAAGGCCTGGTCACATCAGCATTTACAACAGCAAACACACTTATTTCAGTGGAATTGCTGAAAGTTGCATATTTACATAAAAAGGTGTGAAAAATTTCCACTGTGATTTTATACAAAGTTAAACTCTGAACAGCCTTTCTATGCTGACGCTTCCAGGGAATGACGGAGTCGAAAATGTAAGGAAGCTGTTTTATTTGTGTGATACAAGAACCAATGTGCAAAAGCTTTTCTCTTCCTACCATCCAAATAACTTAGCCAAAACCAATGATAGCCAGTGTGTGACCCCCAAAGTTTCCACCACGACTAATTTCATGAGTATTCACAAATGTATCCCTCTTGCATTTACAGGGAGAGGAGTATCCCAGTTGTGACCTGGGGCCTATTTCAAGAAGGCGGTTTTGTCGAAACTCAGAGTTTGTTAACCCCGAAATGGGGGCAACGCGGAGTTTTCGGTTTCAGAAACGGAGGTAACTTAAACCCGTGAAGCGGGGTAAGTTAAACCCGTTTCACAAAGAGAGGTAATCTAAACTCAGAGTCAGTTACTATGGCAAATTACTCTGTGAACCTAACCTGCTGGCGAGCAGGTTTTGTTCGGGAAACTCAGAGTTTCCTCCGGGTCTCCGCCCCTTTTTAAAGTGAAAGGTGTTTAATACCTCATTTAATCTTTCAGTACATTCATAGATTGCACACGTTTCCGTCACGCAGAGACCAAAATGGCGTGTCCATTCATAGAGGATCCTGTAGATGAGGACGCTGTAGTAATTCGCAGGGAATTGCATTTACGTCGGGAGAGGATATTGAGGCCACGAGTTGATTTTTTGTCATATCCCCATGTATTTTTATTTGAGCGGTACCGTTTTTCTAGAGAGTCCATAACATATATCAATAATCTTATCCACCCATACATCAGACACATCACCCATCGTGGCCGTGCTCTTACATCCGAGCAGATGCTTTGTGTTGCATTACGATTTGTTGCAAACGGCAGTTTTCATTATAACATCGGGGATGCAGAGCACATTAGTAAGGCCACAGTATGTAGAATAGTTCGGAAAGTGTGCCTCACCCTCAAGCGCTTTCTGTGAATTTTTGTTGTGTTTCCTGGGCACAAACCCCTCAGAGCCATTAAAGAGGAGTTTCACAGGATTGCAGGTTAGTGGTATTGAATTCGTTTCAGTAAGGCTAATCTGAAAAATGATGATCAGTTAATAACATCTTGCTGTGACCTCTGGAAATAAACTAATAATTAGAATCCCCTTCAGGATTTCCTAATGCGGTTGGATGCATTGATGGCACACATATTCCCATCAATGCACCTACATGAAAATTAAAATTCAATTCTTATATTATTACATCAGTGTTGGGTAAATCTTAAAAAAGTATTTTGATTAATGTAATAACTACTCTCCATAAAATGTACTGGATTATTTATTAATCATTACTTTACAAATCCCATATCAACCACAATAGGAATTTTAAGAAAGGGTAGACATAAAACTGCACTTTTAATTCGTACAAAAATCGGTATTTTATGCAATTACTGAAGTTACTCATTCAATTATTGAAGAATTAAGAACCATTCCTTACTTTACAAGTGACAAATAATAACATTACTAACATTATTTAGTAATTACTTACACCGAACACTGTATGATTAAAATGTAAACGTACGCATTGACTCGGGCAGCTATTTTCCCCCAAGCTAACTCTTTCTCTTTCGCCGCTGCAGCCGTGTTG